TTATTGTTTGATTGAGTGTTGTGTTGAATGCTTGCCCTGAATATGGTTGAAAATAGAAGAAGTTCAGTGTGCCAAGCTTCGCTGGGGCGAAAAATAATCCTCGCCGTGGCGAAGAGGTGTTGAAACCACGAGGAAACTCTCTGGACAGTTTCGCCGCGGCGACAGAAGTTTCCTCGCCGCGGCGACAGGCCGACCAAAATGTTTGCTAAGTTTTAGATAATTTCTTCCCTAAGGGCAATTTGACCACTCTACCCCTAATTAGCAGGAAAAGTGGGGAGTTAAATGTAAGGATTTTTCATGGAGAATATGTTGCTATGGGGGTGTGTTTGTAATGAATCCAAGGATATAGATAGAATTCCCAAAGAAGAGTAAGGGCAAAATGGGAATGCTTGTGTATAAATTTCATTAAAAGGAATTAAGACTTTGCAAACCCTTCATTCTTCTTCTCCATCGCCACTCTCCTCTCTTGCTTCCTCTCAAATTCTCTTTCTTTTGATCAAGGAGTTTTAAAGGGCTTTTGGAGTGATTTGGGGTAGAAAATCAACCTAAGGCATCCTAAGGTAAGGATTCTTGCTTTGGTTGTGAAGCTTTGTGAGTTTTTGTATATATTGAATATTGAGGGTTTTTGTTCTTTTGTTTAAGAGTAGAGAAAAAGTCAAGCAAACCAAGTGAAAGGAAGAGTTAGTGAAGTCTCTCCATAACAAGGTAAGTAAACCCCAACCCAAGTTGAGATTTGGGAATTTTCTTGATTAGGGTTTTGATAGCACTTATGTATGTATGTTATATACATGTTATATGCCATGTTATTGAGGCTTAAATAGAGATTTCTAGTGCTTTGTGATTGTTTATACATTTCAAATATAAGAAGTGAGATGTGGGTTGGAAAGGTAGTTTGAGATGGAATTGAAGGATATTGAGGAATCCTTTTTGGAAGTGTCTTTCTTTGGCAGGATTTGTGGCTATGTGAGGGGGTTTCTCCCCATTTTGGATGGTTAGAGAAAGATTTAGAATTATTGTTATAGTAGAGTTTTATTATGCACTTGAGTTGTTTGATGAAATGCCTAATAGAGGTTTGAGTATGAGTAGTGAACCTTAATTCTTGCAACATTGCATGTTGGCATTTCATAAGTGCATTAGTGGAGATGAACCATCCATAGGCATTAATTGTGCATTGAGAAGTGACCTAAGAAAGAGTAGGAAACTTTGTGTATGCACTTGCTCTATGAGTAGAGAACTTTGTGGATGCAACTACTCTAAGGGTAGAGAGAATGAGAAGTGCTAGAGTAGAGTGAATGAGAAGAGTATTAGAAATGGGTTGATGCTTTGTGATCATCACCCGACAGTTATGAGAATCGGGTTGATGCTTCGTGATCATCACCCGAATAGTTATTAGAAATGGGTTGATGCTTTGTGATCATCACCCGATATTTATTAGAAATGGGTTGATGCTTTGTGATCATCACCCAATAAGTATTAGAAACGGGTGGATGCTTTGTGACCACCACCCGGTTAGTTATTAGAAAAGGGGTTGATGCTTTGTGATCATCATCCGACATTTATTAGAAGTGGGTTGATGCTTTGTGATCATCACCCGACAGTGATTAGAGACGGGTTAATGCTTGGTGATCGTTACCCAAAAGTCATGAGAAACGGGTAGGTGCTAGGTGGTCTCCACCCGATAGTTACGAAAACCGAGTAGGTGCTTCGTGATCCCCACTCGGTAGTCACTAAGAACGGGTTGGTACTGTGTGAATTCCACCCGATAGTCATGGAGAGTGAGATGGTACTGTGTGAACGCCATCTGGCCGTACCTCCGATAAGATGAGGCCATGACGTTTAGTAGAAACAGAAATAGTATAAGGAAAGAATTAAGAGTAATACATACGGGGACAGACAGATGGAGGGTTTTACTTACTGAGCATTATTTTGTGCTCACCCCGTTATTTTTCCTTTGTGGATGCAGGATCTAGGTGCTGATGCAGTCGGAGGGGCGTCGGCGAGCGAGGAGCAATAGCTACACTGTTTCCCCTGTTTTGTCTTTTAAAAATGACTTTTTGTAAACAATACTCTTTGTGTATAAAAGACATATGACTTATAATGAAAAGAAAGTTTTTGGGCCCCATTTTTTATTGTTATTATGCATACATTGTATTAGCTTACAGCAGTTGTCACATGGTTGCTAAAGGATATGCTCAAACTTACGGAGTTGATTATTTTGATACTTTGTCCCTTGTGGCTAAGTTCACCTCTATTCAACTGTTTATCTCTATGGCAACTGCTTATGATTGGCCTTTGCATCAGCTAGACATCAAGAATGCTTTTCTTCATGGCGATCTTCAGGAAGAGGTTTATATGGAGCAACCTCTTGGGTTTGTTGCTCAGGGGGAGTATGGGAAAGTATGTTATCTTCGCAAATCTTTGTATGGTTTAAAACATAGTCCTCGTGCTTGGTTTGGAAAGTTTAGCAGATTGTTAAGAGATTTGGTATGCTGAAATGTAAAACTGACCATTTTGTTTTCTACAAATGGTCTGAAACTGGCATCATTCTTCTAGTTGTGTATGTGGATGATATTGTTATTACTGGGAGTGATAGCGTGTGCATCACATCTTTTAAGTCTTTTCTTCATACCCAGTTCCACACAAAAGACTTAGGGATATTGAAGTATTTCTTGGGGGTTGAAGTTACAAGGAGCAAAACGAGGTATATTCCTCTCTCAGAGGAAATATGTGCTCGACTTGTTAACTGAGACAGGGAAATTGGGGGCAAAGCCATGTAGTGCTCCAATGGTTCCTAATATGCAGCTTACAAAAGATGGTGAACTATTTGGAGATCTTGAGAAATATAGAAGATTGGTCGGGAAGTTGAACTATCTTACTGTGACTCGTCCAGATATTGCATATTCAGTAAGTGTTGTCAATCAATTTATGGCCTCCCCAACAGTTCATCATTGGGCGGCTTTGGAGCAGATCTTGTGTTATTTGAAAAGAGCCCCTGGACGTGGTATATTATATGCCAATCATAGTCACTCTCATATTGAATGTTTCTCAAATGCAAATTGCGTAGGTTCCAAGGTAGATAGAAGATCCACATCAGGCTATTGTGTCTTTGTCGGAGGAAATTTAATATCATGAAAGAGCAAGAAGTAGAATGTCATGTCACGATTAAGTGCAGAGTCGAAATATAGGGCTATGGCATAAGCTATTTATGAAATAATGTGGATATATCAGTTCCTGACTGAAATAGGCCTTGAAACTTTAGTACCAGTGAAAGTATGGTGTGATAACAAAGCGGCTCTTCATATTGCATCTAATCCAGTGTTCCATGAACGAATGAAACACATTGAGATCGATTGCCATTTCGTCCGTGAGAAACTACAACAAGGTCTGATTTCCACTAGGTACGTGAAGACTGGAGAACAATTGGGAGATATCTTCACAAAGGCGCTAACTGGGATTTGAGTTGATTATCTTTGTAACAAGCTGGGTATGATTGATATCTATACTCCAACTTGAGGGAGAGTGTTACAGATGTATATAACTTCCTAGATTATAGGGATCACATTGATCTTGTATCCTAATAGAAATTGATCACCTACCTAGATTAGAACACTACAAGTGTATATAAATATGTATCATTTTATTCTATGAATGAAAAAAAAAAAAAAAGTGTGAATATTCATCCTTAATACGTTTTTACAAGAGCAAAAACTTTTTAGAGCAAAAGTTATGGATTGTATGTGAATCAATAATGAGAGGGTTAACCTTTGTTTCTATAATGAGTGAATAAAGCTTGATCCTTGTAGAACTATGTGTTCTCACAGTAGGAGTTTGAGTAAACAGGAAACTCGTAATGTTTATTCATGTAGAAGTAGAAGTATTAGTTCATGTAAGATTAGGAATCTTGCATAAACTAAGAAGTAAGTAAGACTCTGAGTCCTATTTTGGAACGAATATGGGCTAATGGGCTGAAGCCCAATTTAGTTTAACTTGTAGAAAGACCTAACTCATGGAGTGGCTCAAAGCATAAGTTGGCTCAATTCGTAAGATGGCTTTGATTGTAGAGTGATCAAAATCGTAAAGTAGCCCAACTCATGGAGAGGGCTGACTCGTGGTGTGGTCCAGCTCATAGAGTGGGCCGGCTCATAAAATAGGTCTTGTTATAAGATAGGTCATCTCATTAGATGATCTTTTCCACAAGGTAGCTTTAAATATGAGCCCAATCGGAATTGAGTTAAGACACTGGGCAATAGAATGTTTATTTCATTATTAGGCCTAAGAAAGTTTAGTACGATTTTTTGCCCATACAATTATATTGATATTATTCTATTAAATGAACTGAAATTTCTTCTAATAATGTAGAAAGCAATCTCACAACCATAATGCATTACAAAAGTAATTAACAACATCTTCTCATTAAACACACCATAAGTTAACAACTATTTAAATACATGATTAGCGTTTAATTAATGTTTTCTATAGCGTAGATAATGGCTCTACAATTTAAAATTTTCAAGCAAGAAGTTGCTATTTTTCAACAACGTAATTTTATAATGAAGAAAATCTCTCCAATCATCAACTAATTGCTATATATAGATGGAAAACAGTCAATCTTGTTCAGGAACACACAGAAAGAGAGATAAAGAGAGATGGAGGTAATCACAGAAAGAAAGGCAACGACAAAGTAAGAGCAAGAGCAAGAGCAAGAAGAAGAAGCTCAAGCAGACGTTGAAATTTGGAATTATGTATTCGGGTTTGTGAAAGTGGCAGTCGTAAAGTGTGCCACTGAGCTCGGCATAGCTGACGCCATAGAGAACCATGGAGGCCCCGTGACACTTTCAGAATTATCATCAGCTCTCAATTGCGCGCCCTCCTCTCTTCACCGAGTAATGAGATTTTTAGTTCACTACCAGATCTTCAAAGAGAAACCCACCAGCCACGGATCCATAGCCTTCGAACAAACCCCAATCTCACGCCGCTTCAGAAAACATGGACAAAACAGCATGGCCGCTTTTGTTCTACTGGAGAACGGCCCGGAGATGGTGGCATCATGGATAAACTTGAGCGCCGGCGTCCAAGTCAATGGAACGCCGGCTTTTGAGGCGGCTCATGGGAAGGATATATGGAGCTATGCAGTTGGGGATGAATCTTTTAGTAAGCTAATCAATGATGCAATGGCTTGTGGAGCTAGAGTGGTGAAAGTGCCGGCGATTATTAAAGGTTGTCCTGAGGTGTTTGATGGAGTTGGTAGCTTGGTGGATGTTGGTGGCGGGAACGGAACGGCTTTAGGGTTGTTGGTGAAAGCTTTTCCATGGATTAGAGGGATCAATTTTGATCTTCCTTATGTTGTGTGTGATGCTGAGCAGTCCCATGGAGTTGAGAATGTGGGAGGTGACATGTTTCAGAGTATTCCAATGGCTGATGCTATTTTCATTATGGTTGGTATTTATTTATCATTAAATTTAATTACGTGATTAAAAGTTATTTATCTTTAAAAACAAGATAAATACAAAACAAATTATAAAAATTTTCAGGTGCAAACATGCTGGGATTTTGTTCTTAAATTTTAGGTTAAGATTTCTGAGGTGAAGAATCTATTAAAAAGACATAATTTCTTCTCTTTAAGAATCTAAAACAACTTCTTTTAAAAAATGAGGAATGGATAGAATATTTGATTGAATTTATATGTTAAAAGTCTTTGCTTCTTCTTTCTATACATACTTCAAAGTAATATAATCTTCTATTCTCTACTTCTGTTAAGTAAAATTATGTGATAATAATTTAGTTTTACTATAAATAAAATAAATAAAAAGGTTAAAACTCCATCCTACTTTTGTTGTTATAAATGTTGATATTACATAGGACAGGCTTACCATGTAATAACTCTTTCTAGCTAGTAAACTTTGTAAAATATAACATAAAGTCATTAAATATATCATAGAAATATATATGTATTTAAGTACAAAATAGTAAGCCCAAAAATTCTTTATTTTATATACTAATTTCTTACAACAACAAAAGTATCATATACATAATCTCAAAATACGTGGACGTAGTGTCATTCTCCTCCACTCTCGAACGTTCCATCCCACGTTTCTCACATATTTCCTGCAAAAACAGAGAAAACAACGGAGTGAGCACTAATTACTCAGTAAGTAAATCGCTATGATACTTCTATCTTCTTTACTCATATTCTGAATTTATTTCCTTACATTACACTTCTCTATTCTTCTCTGTTCTTACTTCTCTCTGTTCTTTATTTTATTTCTTATTTCTTATAAGATAGTAAGCATGGTATCATGCATAGGTATGATGCAAGTAAACAAATGCATAGGATGTGCATTTTTTTCCTATTTCTTATTCTGTTTTTCTTTCTTTCTGTGTTTTTTCTTTGTTTTCTCTGTCATTCTATTCTTTCTTTTCTTTTTTGTTCTTCCTTTCTTCTATTCTTTCTTTTCTTTCTATTCTTTCTTTTTTCTTCTTTCTTTTCTTTTCTTTTCTATTCTCTGTCAATCGGTGTAACGCCCCACTTGAGGTACGTAGACTAATGTTTCTCCTTTTTGTTCTTATTTGAGTCGGTTTATTAGTACTATGTTGTGATTGGCTTTGATTGAGTGGTATGTTGAATAATTGCCTTGAAATGGTTGAAAATAGAAGAAGTTTAGGGTTCCAGGCTTCGCCAGGGCGAAGACGAATCTTCGCCGCGGGGAAGGGTGTTGAAGCCGGGGAAGCTGCTGGACAGTTTCGCCACAGCGACAGAGGCTTTTGCTCGCGGCGACGGGCCGATCAAAATGTTGGTTACGTTTTAGATATTTTCTTCCCTAAGGGCAATTTGACCATTCTACCCCATTAGTAGGAAAGTGGGAGTAAAATGTAAGGATTTTGCTTGGAGAATATGTTCATATGGGGTGTGTTTGTAATGAATCAAAGGGTATAGATGGAATTCCAAGGAAGAGTAAGGGCAAAATGGGAATTTCTTGTGCATAAATTGTATTAAAAGGAATTAAGTCATTGCAAAACCCTTCATTCTTCTTCTCCACCGCCACTCTCCTTTTTACTTTCTCTCAACTTCTCTTCCAATTGTTCAAGGATTTAGAGGGGTTTGGAGTGATTTGGGGTAGAAGATCAATCTAAGACATCCTAGGTAGAGGAAATCAAGCAAACCAAGAGAAAGGAAGAGCTAGTGAGATCTCTCCATCACAAGGTAAGTAAACCCCAACCCAAGTGGGATTTGGAACTTTCTTGAATAGGGAGTTAATTGCAATTATGTGTGTATTTGTGTGTATGTATATACATGTGATATGCTATGTTATTAGATTCAAATGAGATAACTATGAATATGGTTGTTCATACACTTTGATTATGAGAGTGAGATGTGGGTTGGGAATGAGTTTGAGATGGAATTGGGATATTGAGAAATCCTTTTAGAAGTGTTATTCTATGACAGGATTTATGACATGTGAGGGAGTTTTCTCCCATTTGGGATGGTTAGAGAAAGACATAGAATTATTGTTATAGTAGAATCTTGTTATGCACTGAGTTGTTTGATGCACTACTCATACTTAAACCCCTAGTAGAGGTTTAAGTATGAGTAGTGAACCTTAATTTTGCAACATTGCATGTTGGCATTTCTAAGTGCATTAGTGGAGATGAACCATCCATATGCATTATTGTGCATTGAAAAGTGACTTAAGAAAAGTAGAAAACTTTGTGTATGCACTTGCTTTACGAGTAGAGAACTTTGTGAATGCAACTACTCTACGGGTGAGAGAATGAGAAGTGCTAGAGTAGAGAAAGTCATTAGAGACGGGTTGATGCTTGTGATGTCACCCGATATTTGTGGAAACGGGTTGATGCTGTGTGATCGTCACCCAATATTTAATAGCAACAGCTTGATGCTTGTGATCGTCACCGAAGTCATTAGAAATGGGTTGATGCTTTGTGAGGCACCCAAAAGTCATGAGGACGGGTAGGTGCTTTGTGGTCTCCACCCGATAGTTATGAAAAACGGGTAGATGCTTTGATCCCTACCGGTAGTCACTAAGAGCGGGTTGGTGCTATGTGAACTCCACCGATAGTCATGAAGAGTGAGATGGTGGTTGTGGGAACACCATCGCCATACCTCCGGTAAGATGAGGCCATAACGTTAATAGAAAACAATAGAAAGAAAGTGTGAGAAGGAATTAAGAAAAATAGTTACGGGGATAGACAGATATAGAGTTACTTACTGAGCATTATTTTTGTGCTCACCCCGTCATTTTCCTTTGTGAAGTAGGATCTAGGTGATGATGCAGTTGGAGGGGCGTCAACAAGCGAGGAGCAATAGCTACACTGTTTCCCCTGTTTTTGTCTTTTAAATGGCATTTTGTAAAAAATACTCTTTGTGGTATGAAAGACTTATTACATATAATAAAAAGAATATTTTTAGGCCCATTTCCTATTATGATAAGAAGCATTTTACTAGTTACAGCAGTTGTTACAATCGGTATCGGTTGAGGCATGGATTCGGAACCCTGGTCATATGAGTGAGTACAGTCCTCATCTACATGCACTTTTACGGACTGTACAACTTTTCTTCTTCTTCTAGGCGCCTCACTAAGGCGGCATGCATTAGGTATATTTCTGGGTACAGTCCTCATCACGGTACTCTTAGGAATGTACAAGTTTTCTTTTTATTCTTAGGCCACACTAAAGGCGGCATACATGGGAAATTCTCTTCTTGTCACTCACAGGTTCATCGCCAACAACCTTCTTTCTTTTATCTTTCTTTAGAAATTAGTATTCAATTTCTTTTCTTTAATAATTCTCTTTTCTTTCTTTGTCTTTCTATTCTTGTATGCATGTAGATGGCTTTTCTATTGTCTTTCTTATTCAAATGATTGAATGCAAAGATGAAATATAGCATGTAAAACATGTCATTCTTACTTTCTCTACCATCTACAAACTCATATCAAAAAGATAATCAACATACTCATACGCACTTCTTTATGAAATTTCATCAAACATTGGTAGCACAAATAAAGCACTAAGGTGATTACACTTCCTAACAATCTCTAAACCCAAAATTTTGGAGCAAAGCTTCATAAAAACAACTTCAAACCTGGCCAGGAAAATACACTCCATAACTCTACTCAAATTCTTTCTTAACTCATCCAAACTTCCATCAATTACTATAAACACAATTATCACTTCTCATGGTGGAATTCTAACCATGAATCATCATCAATTCCATCAACAATCAAGCATATAAATACATATAAAACTTTCTCTACACAATTCTTGCTCAAATCATGACTAGAGTTGGATTTACTTACCTTGACTTTGAGTAGTTCCACACTAGAATCTATCTCTTTGGTATACTTCCTTTTCTTCTTAAACCCTAAGCATATAAACTATAAGAATTCAACACTTAAAAAATTAATCTCACATCTTATTGCAATAATTCTTACCTTTGGACGCTTAGGATTGAATATCTACCAAAATCTAACCAAAAATCCTCTAAATTGCCTTAGAAATTTGATGAAGAAATTGAGAGAATTTGGGGATGAAAGTGGCATGTGAGGGGTAGAGAATGGCAGGGTTTTCAATTCTTGAACCCTTAAAATCTCATTTATTACTTATACTTTCCCATTTTGCCCTTGTACTTTCTATGAAATTCCATCTTTATCCTTTAGTCAATTACAATTATGTCCTCATTTCCATTGCATTCTCCATGAAATTCTACTACTTTTCACTCCCCACACTTTCAACTAATTCTGAGTGGAATGACCATTTTGCCCTTAAGCAAGTTTTCTAGAATTTCCTCAAAAATTCCAACAAATCTTTGCCCCGACGAAAATTTTTCTTCACCTCAGCAAAGCATTCCAGAGAGTACGTCACTACGGCGAACTTTCTTCCTTGCCGCGGCGAAGACGGCAATTCTAAGAACTCGATTTAGGCAGTGTGTACAATGCTGCGGCGACAAAACTCCTTTGTCGCGGCGAAGTCTGCAATTTCCAATTTTTCAATCTTTCACTTTAAAACAAGCAAAACTAAGGGTATTATAGCATAAATAAATTACCTCACTGTGGGTGTTACATACCACATCATCTAGTTAACACGAAGGGGTGAAAATTGAGTCGAGCTGCTCACGAGCTACTTAACTCGACTCGATGTTGGCTCGAACTCGGCTCAGCATTAGTCGAGTCAAGTTCGAGTTCGAGTAGTTAATCGAGTTGAGTTTGATCATAGTAGAAATTAAGTCGATATGTTTGTGAGTATTTTCAAACTTGATGGTTAAGTTGATAGTTTTTAAAGTAATACGAGTCATATATAATTTAAAAGTTATAAAATTTGCAAATCCACCCCTTTTAGATGAGCTAAAAATTGAGTTGGAACTAAAACTCGACTAAATCTAAATTCTACGAACTCGATTTCTAATTTCAAGTACCGAGTTCGGACTTGATTTCTCAAGCTCGAACTCGAACTCAAACTTGGTATTGTAATAATCGAGTCGAGTTAGATTTACCAGATATTCGACTCGACTCGACTCGATTTCACTCCTAAGTGAGACCGTTAAATGACATAGTGACATGTATTGTCGCATATATGCCAAATTTTTTTCTTTTGTCCACCTATCATCATGGTTGATCAATAATTATCCTTTTATCTTTCATA